TTCCCAGCTGTCTGAGTGATTCCAGCTGGTATTTTGGGGAGGGAATTCTCTTCCCGTAAAAAACCAAAAAATAATAAAAGCGATCCAAGGCAAGCTGGGGCTTCCTCAGGGGTGCTGTTGAAGGATATTTGGAATACTGGGATTTTCCAAGCAGCTTTCATTCCTGATGGATTTTATGGATGTTTTCCTGCAGTCTGGGATGTCCCCTGAATTTAAGAGGATCATGGAATTCCAGAATTATTTGGGTTGGAAAGGGCCTTAAAGCTCATCCCATTCCATGGGCAGGGTACTCCCACTATCCCAGGGTGCTCCAAGTTGGCCTTGAAAACTTCCAGGGATCCATGGGCAGCCACAGCCTCTCTGGGAATTCCATCCCAGCCCCTCCCACCCTCCCAGCCAGAAATTCCATCCCGAAATCCCATCTAAACCTTTTAAAGTTGATTTCTGAACTGGGCAGAGGATTTTTGGATTCTATCCTAGGAAAACCTGGGATTTTAGGCAAGGAAACAAGCACAGGGATCCAGGTGGATCCAGTCCCTGCAGCTGCTGTGGTCCAGCACTTTTAGGGAATTAAACACAATTCCAGGATAAAAATATTTCACCAGCTCCAGCAGCCTGGGCAGCTTCAAGGATTAATTATGCATCTGACTGGGAATATTGCAGGAGTTKGGAATGCTCCCAGTGTGGCTTTGGAGGAATTGCACTGGTTTGGTGGGAAAACGCTCGGGAGCTGGGGAAGGGACGGTGGGATGCGGCAGGAGACAGACGGTGGCAGCAGCAGCACAGGGAATTCCTGCTTCCCAAAGTGCAGCTTCYTCCTTTCCTTATGGAAATCCAGGCTGCAGCTCCGCGAGTTTAAGGAGTGGTTCCGAGCTGGTTTTCCTGCTGAATTTCTTTGGGAATGAGGCTTCCAGAGACGAGACTTTCCTTGTCCCTCTCCCRCTCCCTCCACCTTCATTTTCCTTTTCCCGGACTTCCAAAATTTCCTGGTTTAATTCCGCTGAAATTGGGATAAAGCTCTGGGAGACGCTGAGCAATTCCCGCGTTTTTCCTTTTGAAAGGAGCGGGTATTGGCTAAGAAATTCCCTTTGGAAGGAAGAAGGATAAAATGTGGAATTTTGGAGGAATTACACGGGGCTGGGAGCTGGGATGGTGGGAAAACGCTCGGGAATTGGGGAAGGGAAGGCGGGATGCGGCAGGAGACAGACGGTGGCAGCAGCSACACGGAATTGCTGCTTCCCAGCTGGAGCAGCTTGAGGGAAGCTGGGATGTCCCTTTTCCTGCGGAGTGTGGGATCATCCCCATCCAAACCTTCCCGGAGATCCCAGGCTTTCCAGGAATCACTTCCAGGCTTTCTCTGCTCTCCTAGTTTTTTTCCCCAGAGCAGTGCGATCCAAGCCCTTGTGCTTTCCRCTTTTATGGAATACCTGGATCCCAGTTTTCCCTGTCACTTCTCAGTCCAACCTCAGCAAAAAGAAGCAGGGGAGAGGGGGAGTGCTGAAATCCAGRAAAAGCCGGGAAAATCCAGAATAAAAAGGAAAAAACGATCCTTTTAAAATCCCTTTGGCTGCAGTTTCATCCTTGGACCACGCGGAATTTTTCCCTTTGCAGCTTCCCTTTAGGATCTGGAGGTTGTCCCGGATTGTGGCCGGGAATTCTCGGTGAGAGAAGCGCTGCTGCTCCATCACTGGTTCCCTGCGCTCCCCAGGAGCTTCCCCAGGAGGAAAACTCGGGAACATCCCGAATTGTCGCCCGCAGGGAGCGGCCGCCRTTTCCCTTTAAATCCTCCCAAAGCCATTCCGGCTTCGGTTTTGTTTTTTTTTTTTTTTCCTCCAGCGGGTGGAATTTTCCAGGGATGGCAGGCGGCCAGGGGTTTCCATGCCGACCAGGAATGTTGTGCGGTGCACCTCGGGAGAAAGGAGCTGCGCTTCCTAGAATTTGAGCTCCCCTCCCTTTGGAAGGGAGTAAATAAACCAGGAGAGGAGCTGGGGCYGGGAGTTTTCCCAGCGGCTCCTGTTCCCATGGATCCACATCCCGGCTGATCCCACGGTAAGAAGGGATTTTGGCTAGGGGGAGATGCCACAGAATCGCTCCCGAATTAATCCTGTTGGATTTGGCTCCGTGGTGATTAGGAATTTTGGGATTTGGGAGTCTTTCCYGATGTCATTGCTTGGATGTTTTGTAGGGTCAGGAAAGGAGGCATCCTAAGGCGCAGGGAAGTTTGGGGAGCTGAGAATTCAGGAAAATTCTGCCTTTTCTGCCTCAGGAATGTACTTCATTCCCTAGAAATATTCCCCAAATCCGTGCTACTCCTGATGGGATGTTGGGAATGGGATATAACAATGGGATTCCTTGGGGCAGGGGGAGTTTGTTTCTCCTGGATGACTCCAGGTGGTGATAGAGCTCAAGGAATGTTTGGACAATGCTCCCAGGCACATTTTGGGATGTCCTGGGCAGGACCAGCAGTTGGATAATCCTGGAAGATCCCAGTTTTTGTGGCTCATTATGGAGCTGATGTCCTTCCAGATTCCAGGTGGCTCCCAGCCACTGGGACAGGGCCAGGTTGTCCCCATGGAGAGGTTGGATATGGATGGGAAGGGCATTCCAGGGCCATGGACTCATGTGGCTGCAGGAAAAAAATCCCTCGAATGGTTTGGGAGCTCTGAAGGTCCTCCAGACCAAAATCCCAMCAAGGATCAGGGACAACTTCACCTCGGCTTTGTCCCTCCTGCATGGCTCTGGGTGGGGACAGAGCTCAAGGAATGTKTGGATAATGCTCCCAGGCACATCAGGAGTGGGATTGGATGATCCTGGAGGATCCCACAATGTATCCAAATATTCCCACTGTCCCCACTGGGACAGGGCTCAGTTGTCCCCATGGAGAGGTTGGATTGGATCACTCCAAGGCCACTGACTCATGTGGCTGCAGGACAAAAATTCCTGGAATGGTTTGGGGTGGAAGGGAGCTCTGAAGGTCGTCCAGACCAAAATCCCGACACGGAACAGGGACAGTTCGGCTGCCTCAGTCCCCTCCCGGTCACTCCTCCCAGGGGGGAAATTTGGAATCAGGAAGGATGGGAATGATGGGAAGCTCAGAGTCACCCTCATCTTCTCCTCCTGCTCTCTGTGTGAGCAAAGCCTTTCCCAGCGTTCCCAAATCCAAGGGGGCTGCCCCAGGAGATGCCATAAAACTCATGGGATGGGAATGGCCGTTGCCACAGGGCACGTTCCCTGTATGGGGAAGGGAAAGCCCATGGATTTGTGCTCTCCACCCCTCTGGAACGCGGAACCTTTGCTCCCTTTCCCTGTCCCCAGTTCCAGGTGCCTCTGGCTATGGGATTGCTCCGATCCTCTGTGCCTGGCACTGCTCCCCACGGACTGGGATGAACTCCCAGAGCACAGCCGGGGTTGTGCTGCCCTGCCTGGAGCATCCCTGGGACAAAGCCACCGTCACACACTGGTGGGGTTTGATATTCCCCAGCTGGGCTGTTCCGAATCCCAAAAATCCCATGTTAAGTGTTTTTGTGGAAAATCATCCGATTGACCCCTGGGAAACTCCTGGTTTTGGACAAYTCTGTGTAGAGGAGGGAGCTCTGAGAGGGATGAGGGTGGCTTGGTGCTGACACAGAAATGTGGGATTGTTTTCCTGATTTCTGGCTTCCTGTTGCCCCTGTGGAATTAGGAATTGACAGGAATATGGARTTAGGATTCACTCTGGTCCCCTTTAGCAAGGTCTGCAGTGAGACAAGAAATCCTTTGGAATCAGGCATGAATTCCTGGAGCTAAATGGGTACCCTTTAAAATGAATTCCTTGTTTCTGTGCTGGAAAATGAATTTTCAAGTAGAATTCCAGCGGATTCCTTGGACTGGCCGGCTGTCCCTGTTGGAGGTAGTGGCTCCAAGGACTGGAATTTCTCTCCATGGCTCTGTGGAGCGGGAATTCTGAGCAGGAAGAAYATCAGGCACAGAATGCTGCAGCCCAGGGGAATCTGTGGGTGTGTGGTGGGGCTTGGGGTCTTCCCAAAGTATCCGTGAACATTCCAAGCTTCCCAAAATTCCAGTGTATGGGAAACAACCACATGGAGGGGACACAGAATGGGACGGGGGAGGCTGGAATGGGATGGGGAAGCTGGAATGGGATGGGGAAGCTGGAATGGGATAGAGAGAGGCTGGAATGGGACTGGAGAAGCTGGAATTGGTGGGAATCAAGGCACAGCTCCCAGGCCAGTTCCACCACCCGGCTGCTGCTGGAATTTCTCCAGGAGGTGACAGAACTGGTCTGGCTCGACCAACAGGCACAAGATTTTACTCCCAGGGATTTCTTGGCCCTTTGATCAGGACCAGGGATGTGTCCCTTATTTTGGGGGCCCATAGGATCCAATCTGGATTTGTCCCTTATTTTGGGGGCTGGTGGGATCCAGTTTGGATTTGTCCCTTTCCTGTAGCCTGAAGAGATCCAGGTGGTCGCTGGTGAAAGCCATGGATGGGTTCTGTCCTTCCAGGGGCTTCCCAGGGTTTTGGATGAGCTAGAATTTCTCCAGCTTGGAGTTCCAGCACATTCCAGAGATCTGTGGGAATGCTGGGCCAGGAACTGTCTCTGTCACAGCCCTGGATCTGCAGGACACAGGYGAGCACACCTGGAGGGGACATCCCAAAAATCACAGAAACAGCTGGGAAAAGGGAATTCAGGGCATGGGGCTGCTCAGMTGAGGTTGGAGCATCCACAGTGTGCTTGGTTCATGGAATTCTAGGATTTTTTTTAGGTTGGAAAAGGTCTTGAAAATTGAGTCTGACGGTTCTCCAGGCTGGCCAAGGCCACCACTGATCCATGTCCCTGAGTGCCACATCCCCAGGGATGTTAAATCCCTGCAGGAATGGGGCTCCACCCCTGCCCTGGGCAGCCCTTTCCAGTGGAGTTTTCCCTAAAATCCAACCCAAATCCCCTCTGAGGCCGTTCCCTCTCCTCCTGTCCCTGTTCCCTGGGAGCAGAGCCCGACCCCCCCCGGCTGCCCCCTCCTGTCAGGGAGTTGTGCAGAGCCACAAGGTCCCCCCAGAGCCTCCTTTGCTCCAGGATGAACATTCCCAGCTCCCTGAGGAATTCTCCAGACCCTCCTGAGTGCCATTCCCTCCATGTCCCCATTCTTGTGATGATTTCCAGCCCTTCTTCCCCAAGTCTGCAGCATCCATGGAATTGTTGCAGTCCAAGGACAGGACCTRGCACTTGGCTTTGTTGAGCCTTGGSAATTTCTCCTCAATCCATGGATCCATCCTGSCCAGATCCTTCCTGCCCTCCAGCAGACCCACATCCCAACTCACTCGGTGTCCTCCTCCTCCAGATCAGGGATAAAGGCATTTTCCAGGGATTCACCCTCGATCCTTCCATTTGGGATCCTGGCTGGGATCAATCCCTTGACATTTGGGCTGCACCTCTGACACTGTAGTTTTTAGGGCAAGTCAATCCCCTAATTTTTGTTGGGATTTTTTTTGTTGGGAATTTTCTCCATAAGGAAATGAGGAAGGGCCTCAACAYATGGATATTTTCCTGTGCCTTCTCTCCGTGTGCTTGTCCTGCTGCTGGTCAGCCTCTGTCCCTGGTTTTTGTTGGATTGTATCCCATGGATAGGGTTGTGCAGTGCTTGTTCTCTGAGAGCTTATCCCACTCTTCCCTGCATCTCTGTTTTCATCCCACTCCTCCCTGAATCCCTCTTTTCATCCCACACTTCCCTAAATCCCTCTCTTCATCCCACTCTTCCCTAAATCCCTCTTTTCATCCCACTCTTCCCTGAATCTTCCCGCTCATCCCAATGAGGATCTGAAGAAAGTCTAAAACTGAATTTTCCCAAATTAAACATGGAATTCCCATCCTGGCTACCAATAGTAGCTCAGCTGTTAAACACTTCTTCCCGCTGCTGATCCCGGTTTCCTGTGCCTTGTTTCCTATCCCTCCCTTATCCTTTAGGGAAAAGGTTTGTGTTGGCTTGGTGAAAAAAACGGGATTGGATTATCCGGGAGATTGTGCCATTTCTTTTGCATGAGATAGGGATCGCAGCTCCTGGTTTCCCAAGGCACACTCAAATCCCAGGATTTGGGCTCACAAAACATCGGATTCCACGCTTGGAGCAGATTTCCCTCAACTTTAGGAATCCCCTGGGTRAGTGAATCTGAGTTTTCCAGTTTAAATGGCTAAAGCAGTGCAGATCCAAGGAAATTCCAGGTGTTCYGATCTCCCTGTTCTTTGCCAGAACCTTGGATTGTCCTGGAGCAAAGCAGTGGGAATCTCAAATTGGGATTAGCTGCACATCTCAAATTGGGGTTATCTGGGAATCTTGGATTAGGATTAGGTGGGATTATGGAYCTGGTGATTCCAGAAATTGGGATTTTCTTTCAACTCCCAGCTCCGTGTTCTTGACAGGCATTGGAAGGTCTCAGAATGCCTTGAGGAAAAAATGCTGCTGAATTAAAAAAAAATACTTTAAAAAATAATTTAAAAGAAATCCTTTTTGGAAGGAAATGGGAGCTATAGGATCCTGGGATTTCTTCCAGGAGAAACCATCATGGAACCCTAAGGTCAGAAAAGA